CAGCTGCAGCAAGCAGCAGGGAGGCTGCAGACAGCTGCACCAGCCTCTACAGCTCCAGCATCAGCTCCATGCTGGTGGCGACTGCGTGCGCACCTCAGGGCAGACAGTGGGGCAGTGCAGCCTACCCCGAGGTGTGCGCGCAATCACCGCCAGCACGGAGCTGATGCCAGAGCTGTGGAGCCTGGCGCAGCTGTTTGCAGCCTCCCTGCTGCTTGCTGTAGCTGCCCAGAGCCTGGGCTGGCTACAAACAGCTGTGCCAGACTCTAGAGCCCAGTCACCAGCTCTGTGCTGGGAGTGAGCTGCTCCCAGCAGGCAGCTGGGATGCTGCAAGCCCTGCTGGGAGCAGCCTGGACTCCAGCAGCTACCCAGAGCTGGGGTAGCTGCTGACAGCCACAGAGCCTGGACTGGGGGGCAGGGGCATAAGCAGGGCATTCTGCCGTGTACCCCCTGCCCTCATTTTGTTTTTCTGGCATGCTGGCACTCTGGCACCTTCCAAGGTAGACATTGTGGTGTTTTTTGGCACTCCGGCCAAAAACTGTTGCCTACCCCTGGTCTATTATTACCCCTAGGTCCCTTTCAGTTGTGGTGCTATTCAGTATGGCACCACTGAGCCTGTAAGTATGTTGCGGATTGTTCATCCCTGGATAGAGCACTTTACACTTCTCCATGTTGAACTTCATCTGGTTCTGATCTGCCCAACTTGCCAGCCTATCTAGGTCCACCTGTATCTGTAGCCTGTCTTCAAGCATGACCACTCTCCCCCATAACTTGTTGTCCGTGAACTTGGCCAGTGAGCTCTTCATCCCCACATCCAAATCATTAATAAAGATGTTGAAAAGCATTGGACCAAGTATGGACCCCTGGGGGACACCACTGGCCACTTCTCACCAGGATGAGTCCATTCATTAGAACTCTCTGGGTCCTACCCTGCAGCCAGCTTCCTACCCACCTAACTGTTGAGCAGTTAAGCCTGCAATCCTCCAGTTTTCCTAGGAGAACACCATGGGATACCAGATCAAAGGCCTTTTGGGAGTCAAGGTATACAATGTCAACTTACTTTCTCTTATCCAGGTGGTGAGTTACCTGGTCATAGAAGGAGATGAGATTGGCAGGACCAGACCTGCCCATGACGAAGTCATGCTGGCTGTTGTTCAGAATCTTCTGCGAGTGTATCACACATAGCCTCCTTGATGATTTTTTTTTTTTTTTCCAGGATTTTCCCTGGGATAGAAGTTAGGCTAATTGGCCTATAGTTACCCGGGTCCTCTTTCTTCTCCTTCTTGAACATGGGCACAACATTGGCCCTTTTCCAGTCTTCAGGGAGTTCCCTCGAGTGCCACAAGTTTTGGAAGAGTTTCACCAGAGGTCCTGCGATGACTTCATCCAGCTCCTTCAGCACTCTCGGTTGAAGTTCATTCGGCCCTGCTGACTTGTAAATGTCTAACTTTTCTAACTGATCATGCACCAGCTCATTGTTAACAGTAGGAAGGCTGTCAATCCCACCACGCCCATTCTGAACTTTATCTAGTATGATTTTCCCCATAGTCTGGTGAAATACCGAAGCAAAGTAGTCATTCACGAATTCAGTTTTCTCCTGAGTGTCGGTAACCAACTGTCCTGGGTTGTTAAGCAATGGCCCCATGCTTCCATTTGTTTTCCT